AAAAGAGACACTTCTGCGTAATATACGTTGTGCGAAAGGTGCGTCCAAAAGGGATTCGTGGACACCATCACGGAGGACAACGGCAATGAGGGGGAGAAAAGGAGTGGAAAGAAAGGCAACCATATCATATATGCTTTTGAGACAGTCAACGCGTGTTACGCTGCACCTCTGCACGCACACATGGTTGCAAGGGTAATATGTGGTCAGGCGGTCATTGTGTGTGGCCCTCCGCATTATGTGGGCGATGAGAAAGGCGTGTATATATGCACACAGGACTGTACTGCACGTAAGGACGTGCGTTGATAAATGGTAGGTGCGATCGGGCGTCGATGGATGTGCTGGGACAGAGAAAGGGGGCTGGAGTAGAGCTGTCGGCTACTGACTTTGCGAGGCCCGGTTCGACGACGACGACAACTCACCGACGTTACAAAGCCCGCGGTATACTGCTTCCTTGGCTTATATTGCAGCGGACGCCAGTGCCAAGGAGAGGTAAACATTTTCGGTGATTGATATATGCGCGTGGCGGTGCAACGGGTTGCCATTGCCACTACTGCTGTTGTTGTTGTTGTGAGGATGGATTTTGAGAGGTCTCTTGTGTTTGAGCTAGCTGGTGATGAATGAGACGCCTTGAGTCTCTCTCGTGCGATTTTTGCTTTGCACTGATGAATTGTATGAAAGTTTGAAAGGTGTTGGATTTTGAGCAATGTCCTTGGCTGGGAGTGTTAAGATATCTCCAAGATATGTACGTTGTGTGAAATATAGTTTTATTTCTTGCAAAAAATACTCTCAGTTGTTGATTGGTTCTAAAAGTACATGCACACGAAGCTAGATGCAACGAGTTTTAATTCGAAGCTGAGATAAATTGCACTCATGATCCTCAAACGAGGTACAAGTGAACATCGAGCTCTATAATTCACAATTGGATTATGCACAAACCATTGATGTCTAATACACATCAATACACTAAATTATTAATAGGCACGGCTGACTGGTTAATCGGTTGTCGAGTAAACACTGATTACTCGATGGACTGTGTACAAGCAAATCGACGGAGAAAGAGCTAATCTCAAAAAATCTCCTGAGGCAATTTAAAAAAGGCTGCGGTTAAACTACCAAACATAAAAATAAGTAAGGTAATTAAGGTCATTTTTTAAATTACGAATAAGTATTAACAATTTTTCATGAAGGATTATACTAGACCAAACACTCAACATCTTTACAAAGTGCATTATTTTCTGTAGCCCATCTACTTTGCAGTAGAGTATTTTCAACATTAACAACATATTATTGAGATGTGTCTCAGAATACCTGGAAATGATGGCAAAGGTTTCAATTATAACATTAGTCTATATCCAGTTGTGTTTTTCATTCACCATAGCTCGGATGAGTATTTATACAAGCCATTTCTTTGGATTTCAGTCGTAATAGCACTGCCTCGTATTCTTTAGTTCTGCCGTTGTTATTGTACAGGTCAGGGTTCTGGACCTGTAAATCTGTTCAGTCATAAAGAGCACAGTGCCTTGACTAATTATGCACGTTCCCGTGACGCTGAGAACACGCAGAGAAAGAGTAAGGGGTTGTTGCACGAGAAAAAACTTAAGCAGTGAAGAGGAAGGGGTTTCAGGGGTGAAGGTTGCGAGACTATAGCCAAGGCAGAAACGGCGAAAAAGAAAGAGAATGATAAAGTAAGGGTTGCAGTAAATGGACATTAGTGGCCTTCGTTTTTTCCTGTGTGATACAAAACAATGTAGACAGAGAGAGGTGATGTACGGCCGAGGGAAGTTGATATGAGTATTTACGGTATCGAATGTTATTACTATGTAACGTGATTTTTTTTTTTTATAGGATTAGTTAAACTGATTTTTCTTGGACTCTTAGTCCAAAAACTCGTTGGATACTGATTAAATCGCAGTTGTAAGTAATATTGAATTTATGATTGGTTGGCTTAATGGTCACTGTCAAGTCGAGTAAGACGTTATTTTGTTATATACTTACATCAAGAGAAAACAAAAATTAAGAAAAATAAATAAATAAAAATTATAGCTGACCAATTTTTCCAATCCATTTTTGGGATGGTTAAACAAATCAACTTGCTTTTACTCAGAATTCTGCTATGTAATGGAAATTCAAATAAAAAAGCTTTTAAGTAACAACATGCTCACTTCATTATTAAGTGGACTGCTGTAGATGCAGGAAACGGATATTAACCAGTTAGTAAAGGATATTTTGTATCTTTAAATAACAAAAACTATAATTTATTCGAACACTTAACTTGCTTATTTTTTATTCTTACTTGGTTAAAAACATGTTTAAAGACACGCCAATGATTTAAAATATTTAAATAATTTCTCATTCTAGGATATATTGCTAGTACACTTCTCCTCGTTGTTTTTGCCACAACAAAACAGTCGTTACGATTCTACACCAAATTGTTTCAGGTTTGCATAAGTTTATAGTGAATACATTTATTTATACATTGTTATAGCTAAATCCTTCAAAGCATGCATGATCAACTACAATTGTCCATAACAGTAATAATATTCTAGATGGTTTAAAACAATAATTTTAAATGATCCCATAAAAAGTCATGGAGCAGATAAGTACCAGAATTTCCAATTATTACGTATCAGAATTTATGATAATATTTCGTTCTTTACTCATTTACTGCACATATACACGTAACTACTTTTTTTACAAAATTGGTCTTGAGCGTTTATTATTTCGTCGACGTCAGCAACACCTTAGCCTCACCAACACATCATAAAAATGTACGTGCATAGCGACTGCCTATATGTACGGGCACGACGACAAACGGCGAAGGCTAGAGAGAAGCGAGGCACCCTCCCCTTTTGGCCCTCTTCCTCTTTCCAAGCGTCGCCTGCTACGTACACCAAAGCCGTAATTGAAAATTGATTTACGCGGTCCAGGCTGTCAGTCGGTCGGTCGGCACGAGCAAAGATGAGAGGCAATGTGAGCGAGAGAAAACGAGATAGGGCAACACACAACAGCAGCACAAGGAGAGGGAGAAGGATAGAAAGGAGGCACCATCGTTGCTCGCTATGGGTGAACGCGACGGGACACCAACGTGGTGGTGCTGACTGTGTTATGCAGTCACGAGGAAAAGTCGATTATGTAGCCGGAAAGGAAAAAAGACTGAGCCACGTATAATGGAATGGCGTGTTTTTATTTACGTTTACGTCATACTTTGTTAATACGTTCCTTATACGAATAATTTCTTCTGTAAAAAGTTTTCCCTTCATGTAGCGAGCTTAGTGCAAGGCTGCCAGTTCTATTAGCAACCCTTACATTGACACTTTAGTGCGACGAAGTAAAACAACTTCGGATTTTGAATTTCAATAAGATACTATCTTAATTTTTAATTGTACGAATATCAGTTCATGATTAAACAACGTTCTCCTTTCATTATTGGTAGGAAACGCAATGAATTAATTTTGAGATTTTAAAAGGTTCTATTTCAGTTTTTAACGAAAAGTATTACCTTGATTCTTGATAGAAAAAGACAGCATTGTCAAATAAAATCCTATGACTAGAACTTAACATCCATTACATAATAAAGAGGAAGATTAATTACTGTCTTTAAATTATTGTAAGAAAAGAAAAAAAAAATTCCTTTGATTAGTTTATATGAGATACAAGACTGCATAGCATGTTAAAACCATAAAAATGGACATGTTAATTTTAAAGTTATCTTTGTAAAGATACTTTATTTGCAATTTAATTTTAACTTGTAAAAAATAACATTCTTGTTAATACGTAACGCAATTATAATTAAACTTTTGAGCTGTCGTAACATAAAAAAATGTAAGTAACCGTAGCCAGGCACTTAATGATTAATAGTTAAATAACTGATGATGCATGGAATAAAGCTACGTGCACCTCAGGTGATAACTGCACCTCCTATGCTACACTAATTGAATTCTCCCAAAACGTAATCAGATACAACTTATAACTATTGTAAAGAGAAACAGGAGGAAATAAGCTAACTTGAGTTTTCTTCTCTTTCTCTGACTCATGAAAACTCACACACCTCTAGTTGGCCAAGACAATTAAAACCACATATAACACGTGGGACTTTACAATTCCACCTTTGATCAATAGAGCATTGGAATCCAAACTGTACAGCGACGCTCCGTTGGAACACCATGGCCTCTCGACTACTAGAATCCACCAAGGGTATTACCGTATTAGGACTTTTGATGACGATATTTAATCGGAAAAAGGGAATACTCCCTGCGGATGTCCTGTACACGGCTAAGGAAGCTTGTCCAGTGATCAGTCTCGGAGAAGCTTAGTCGTTATACTTTTGTGACTATACTTCGACGTCACAATCTTATTGACTTTCGTTACGCTGTCATTTTAAACTTATCTGACCAACTGTGGACGGTGAAGAAGACATAATTTTAAAAATAACTAATTAAGTAGAAATCGTAAGTAACTAAAAAAATGAATGCCAATACATTCTTACAATAATTAAAATAACAATATGAGTCACGACCCATAGCAGAAAAAATTAGTTGAAAGATAAGCTTTGAATACCAGTTATAAGATACTTTGTCTCGAATTACTGGTATTAATTTTTTACTTCTGCAACGTTATCACTTTTAATACTGTATACTTAAAAACAATATTGCATGCAACAATATCATATTGGATTCATTAATAATTAAATATTTTAAAAGAGTAGGCAGTTTAAATGAATACACATGGGTATAATTTCTTCAATCTTATTTAATTTCTTCTTTAATTTCTTCTTTAATTTAATCTCATTTCTTCAATTTTATTTAACCATGAGTTTAACACTTTCAGATGACGTTAATTAAAAGATGCTTGTTTTACATTTATTTGGCAAACAACAAAAAACACTGTGAACCAGAATAAATTTTCTAAAATCAATAATTGTATATCGTTTTTAATATACTCATAAATAAAACTCATGGTGCAGAATGCGCCAAGAAAAATAAAGTGTGATATACAATCATTTACGTACTATTAATGGTACTCCTACTAGAGCTACGGCTGCGACTGCGGCTGAGACTACGAGTACCACTACGACCACGATTACGGCTACATCCATCAGAGTTAGATGCAATGTCGTCACTAGATCTTGTGGTATTGATAAGACTTATACTAGGAGTTACAAAGTTAGAAGTCAGTTGGAAATCTATTTGTTTCAAAATTTCTGTTGAATTCGTCTTGTATATCATGAATTTCATTATTTCTTTTAAAAATTGAGGTCTTAAAAGTGTTACGTTTACAAAACTGACTGTATCAAATACTTCTTTTAAGTGTTTTATGATAAAATAAACTGATCTCGATTTTAAAGTTTCAGCTCTGTAGAAATCAGCAAACAAAAAACGATCTACAACGTTTTCAGTCGTAATGCTATTACTTAGACTTATTTCACTTAATTGTTTTAAACCTTCGATGGCATATTTATCGGCAACAAGTAATAGTTTGGTAACATCGCATTCACCTGTTTTGAATTCATTAGTATAAATGTAATGCAACATAGATTTAACAGTATAATTATTGAAGTCCTCAATTTTTATTTTTCGCTCTTGATTTTCTTTCATATCGTGCTTCAACATTGCTGCAAAAACAGAAGACCGTGATCCAAGCACGTTTCTGTGACTTGGAAATTCAGTGCCATCGTTTGACACCAGAACAATGTCACTAAATGTACCTTCCTCCAATAATTTACTAAAATCGTTTGATAATTGACATGATGTGTTACAAAATGTATTCAGTTCATTGTGAATTTTTGCACTCCATTCAATATTACAACGAACAAACAGATCACCCTGTCTAAGAGTGATCATTGTGTCGGAACTAACAACAAATTTACAAATACATTCAGATTTTAAATGTTGAATTTCATCACGTACCACTATTTCTCGTTTTCCCAAAAGATCCTCGTTTTCCTCATAAATACTAAATGTACAAGTAACTGGTATGTCAGCTTTATCAAAAACACTCCATTCAAGAAACATAGATAAACCTTCATTTGGGGATGTGTATCCAAATGGATAAACGCGCATGAACCATTGATTGGGGCCTAGACCCCACACTGAAAATTTCTGAAAACAGGCAATTGTACATGTTTGAATTAATTTTACTGTTTTTTGGGACATCAAAGGTGAATAATAACAAATATCGACGACGAATGTATAGATACGAATATGTAAGTTATAATGATGTAGTAATAATAAAAGATCATCTAAGGTGCACAATTGCATAACTGATCACATAACTAAAAAAATACATGCATGTATATCTTTTAATTAAAATTAACTTCTTTCTCTTAAAGGCTAATGTTTTTTATTCCTCCAATTTAAGTGGATCTTATTGAAATAGTTTACTTAAAAAACAATTGTAGCTCAGTTGGCTAAGACGAAAACCAAAAGCTATATTCTAAAATGCATCATTGATTGATAATTAATAAGTATGAGGGAGAAAATATGAAATTACCATCTGTCTTCTGCTCGTAAATGATCAATCAAGTTTATTTATGAAGTATCTCCAAACAGATTATTTTAAATCTTAGTCAAGTTTATTTAGAAAGTTTTTTCAAAAATTTTTCTGGGAGAAATTCTGAAATATTTTGTTGGTCTTTTTTCATTTTTTTATCTGCTATGAGGAATAAATACACAATCTTTTATTTTGAAGAGAAGAAAATTTTTTCGGAAGGAGAAAACGGAAGAAAAAAAATGTGAATTAATTTGAAGTTTTTGATTATTTTTTTTTAGGTGTATAAATATCATTAAAGATACTGACATGGTTTTCAGGCAAAAAATCTATTGATTTACAATGTTAAAACATTATATTCAATGAAAAATTTCGTAATCTTTATAATACGCCTAAGAGTTCAGTTTCTTAATGTTTTCTAATTGTCGATTTGATCGAGTATCGATATAATCTTACAACAATATTCGTTACTACTGTACTACATTACCTACAGACGATTTGTTATTTACTCATACTACTGAACATTTTTTAAGATTGGTTTTTGACTGAGGAACGTACAAAAGTTGCTGTCAATTTATTGGCCCAATGCTTCTGATTAATATTTCTTCAAGGTCTATTTTTTACTGCTACGTCAAAGTTAAATGTACTGAATATTTTATTATTTCTAAACTCTATTGTTTTGATTTTATAGAGGCAGGCAATCTACTTATTATAGACATATTCGAATTTTATTTTTTCAACTGTAATAATAGTAAAAAACATAATATTACATGAAGATTACTTTACTCCTAAATTCATTTCAGCATTACATGCAAGTGTGTCATCTTTCTTACGAACCTACGTACTATTTTCTATTTAAAAGTTATAAGAAAATTAAATAAAATAAAAAAATTGTGAAGCAAGTTATCTTTAAAAAACAGTCAAGAGAAGTATTTTAATAACAATTTACTATTCAGCTTCAATATGAATTATTTTTATACAAAATACAGTACTATTATGATAATTTGTACAATTTTTGAGGCCGAAAAAATTTTATCAGAGTAGATGAAATTTTAATTGGTCATATACAAGGATGTAGAATGATTTATGTGTAATCCATACATGTGACTCAAAGTACACCCCTTAAAGTCCGTATTGGTCATGTTCGTGCGAACGAAATCTTTCTATTTTCCAAGTATACTCTAAACTTGATATTTTTGGTACACGTGTTTCTGGATTCATGATCAATTTTCACCTAAAATTATTTAATGCACGTATGTAAACTACTAAAATTAAATTTACTAAAATAAAATGTACTTAATAAATAATAAATGAGTACGTGAAAAAAATTAAATTTGGATTTCTTATACCTTTAAAGAAAAAAACAATTTCAATAACAACAATTTTTGTAGTTTTTTGAGCCTAATGAAATTATGTAGAAAATTAATGTATTACGTGATAAGTAAAAATCCATAAAAATATTGAAAGTGGTAAAAAGATGTTAACAAAGTTGAAAAATAAAAATCTCATGCCACTCAAATGGGAAATCATAATTTTGTATAAAATCACACACAGTAAAGAGGTATCTTGTGCTAACTATTTCCACTCATTTTGTGTCTTTCATACAAATTGTTATTTTATACTCATGATGATATAAACAATACTGTTGTTTTAATACAATACTTATAATTCTGATCTGATCTTGCTGATCATATTCCCGTTTTATGGTGGAAGAAGATTCTTGAAACACCGTCTTTAACAGTTTGTCAGCAGTACTAAGACAAAATACGTATCGTCAAAGCTATAAATGTTTTTGTGCTTTGTCTTTAATAGTTACACTCACACACACATACTTACACATAAAAAAATTTAATCTCTGAGACAACTGAGTGATAAGTAAATTATTCCACGAATAAATAACTTACCAAATGCGTAGTCATGCAACGTCATTTTACTTTGGAATAACAAAGCGGCTTTCACCAAAATTTACCACGTAAAGACAAATACTCAACAGAAAGCACAAGAAAATACTTGTTTTTATTTGCTAAGAAATTCAATATGAATAGTTCCTAAAATTCTCGGTACTGACAACAAAATGCGCTTGCAGAATTTTCCACAAAAATTAATATTATCACAAGAAAAATACAAGTTTTTACTGAAGTTAAAAAAAAAGTATGAGAAAAAAAGGAATACCGCAACCTTAATAGTAGCGCACACTGAAAAAAATTCTCTACGATTTTGGCTGAACACACCACCGCCGTTTCAGCGGTTCGGCCAGTGGTAGTTGGTTGCAATACTAAAACAGCAGTGCACTTTAAGAGATTAACATTCCGAGTCGATTTGTTGACTTTCATAGGTGAAAAATAAAGTTTATCTTTGTCTTTGTCTCTTCAGCCTTGCTTTCTATACTATTCTAAATAAAAATGTAAATTTATCTACGTAATTTAAAAATTTTTTTCACAGCATATTAAAACATTTATTTACATACATTATCGAGAGGTGGAATAATGATACTGTAAAATGAAAAAAAAAAAGATTTAACACAATGCCTACGGGCCTTATGTTTATGATAATTATTCTGAATGTTTAATTTCTATTTTACACTTTGCTTTTAAATTTTAACTTTTTTAGGAACAAAAGATATGTCCATCAATAAATTTTGCATTTACTGGCTTCTCTCGTTAGTTCACCAAAAATTAAATGTTAAAAGAATGTAACATTTTTTTATTAAGATTCGAACAACATGTTATTATCTTTACAACTGAGTTAGTACTCGTTCCTACAAACATATGTTAGTATAATTTTTTTCATCCTTGAGTAGTACTAGAAAATTTAAGTTCTAAGTGTCAGTATCAATTTTCCCTCAGTGTGGTAAGTAGGACGACATTTTTTTATGCTTAAGCAGACTTTTTATAAAGTAAAAGAAACTTGTTTTGTGGAAAGTCTTTAAAAAAATAATCTACTTCATATAGGATATTTTAGATTAAAATTTTGAAGGTAGGTGAAAAACAACCAAACCAAATTAAAACACCAGTCTGTAAAAATTTCATCCCTTCATGATGATTAAAAGCAAAGTAAAGATTATTTGAAAAGCGTGAAAATTTTGTTATTATTTGGAGTTTGTAAGAGACATTAATCATATTTATTTCTGTTGGTACATATTTTAATTGCCTCTTTTTTTGTGCACATTTTTTAATTAAATATTTTTATATGAAACACTTTTACATGAAGACTGTTTTAAAGAAGTCACTATTGGTTTTACTGTTCAGCATACGCATTTATGTAAGTGCAACATAATATAATATAATATAAATATAAATTTTTTTATAAATAACA